GATTCTCTTGCTCCACACCCCGCATTTCGAACCAGTCGCGAGCTGTTTGGCTTCTACTGCGTCACCTCTATGAGCTCAAAGGACTATCCTTCTGTATTCGAATCGTAAGATTTCTTTGTCTGTCTTTGTGCGCCTTTTGCGAGATTCGGCACTAATGAATGAATAGGTTGAAAAAGATGAGGATGGGGGAGGCATGTGCTCAGACCTGAACCGAAAAACCAAGCTGGGGCGTCCAGCGAGTGTTTCCCAAGGGGGCTACGATTCTTCATAATCTGTTCAAAAGGCTCCTCGGAATGAGAAAAACAAATGTCGGATGAGGGAAGTCATCTCTAAATGTGCGGTGTTTGGTTATGGAAATTGGCGCAGTTCGGCGATGGAGGGGGAGGGACATTTTGCAGTTTCGTTGCTTCACTAGTTCCGGTTTACAAGTCTCACTCTGGTGAAACCTGTGAACTCTTGTGAAGCTGGAGCAAGCTCATCAAGCCATGGTAAAACCTGTCAACTCGAGAAGAGGCTGTCTAGATGGGTCGACACGTCGATGGGAAGTAGCGAAAGTGCAAAATTCCCCCCCCCCCCCCGTTGCCGAACAGCGTCTGAAAATTCATAAATCGATTCTGAGACGGCGGAATAAAAACGGTTTCTGATAAAATGAATGAATGAGGAATTTCTGAATAAGAGACCTTTTTAGTATTTTTGATCGTTTTTTTACAGATCCTGCATATAAACCATTCGCCGTGTTCCTCACGTACAATCTTCCATCGACTGGCTTCACCCGGTTGTACATTCCACAGGTTCTGCAGGGTATTACCGGTAGCACTTACTACGTGGATAACAGCACTTCTCTGGTGAAGCGTGACTCATGTAAGAACTCTCGATAATTTGCCCCTTCTGGAAAAGCATTAGTAATTTTTCAGTTCAAAAAATATCAGTATTTTTTCAAAGTTCTGATAGAAGTTCTCCAGGACTTCTGTAGTTATTTACTTCAATATCAAGTACAGCAATACTAAATAATACCCCTCAACGTCTACATCGCTTTTATTTGACGAAAATTTCTTTAAGATCGACTACAGTATGTGGTTCTGGTCTACCGTACCACTCAGCCGATCGATACCAATATACGGAACATAATCAGTTTGGGAACGAATTCTACAGGTTTGTCGAAGGCTTTCATACTTCAGCGTTTATACTTCGCTATCCAGTCGCTTGGATAGCGCGATCCGATCAGTCGCGTGATCCAAGCGATCTGCTTCCGAAGTATAAACACGCTATAACCAGTGTCAATTCATTTACCGTACTTTTCACTTGAAGGATTGAATCTGATGTATGAATGCAAAAATGTGTTATGTTTCCTATCGACAACCAAACTTGCCGAACAACTTGGAAGGCCAATCGCAGGCAGCATATTCCATGTAAGTTCTCGTATTCCACTGAAGGCAATGGGGTCAATCTAAAGACGCTTCCGAAAGAAAGAGAGTGATTTGTGCGGCTCAAATACTTATGACAAGATGGTAAATAACACAGTAGTGAAGAGAAAAGCACCGACATCCCTGCCCGCGTGATAGCCTCATAGAGAGCCTGGCTGAAGCGGCGCTTATACGCGCCTAAGGCGAAGGAAGGGGGGTGGGGGTTCGAACGAATTCTACTTGTTGGTGTCAGCTCTTTCTCCTTAACACCTTATTCTCACCCTTCCAAATGGACGGCCTAGTAGCAGAAGAACTGCACCATCAGGTAGATTGAAAATTTAATTTGGGCGTCCGTCGCTGTATCAGTCGGACGGGGCGTGTAATCCGCTCCCGAAGGGCAACGCTTTCTCAACCTAATTTCGAGCTGTCGATAAGAGTTGACATCTCCGCGATGCTGTTGCAGGCTAGGCTCTACTTGCTCAGAGAGAAGGCGCTTGTCAAATGTAACGAGGGGCGGCGCTTGAAGTCCGTCCCGCTGCCTCACCATGCAGGTAGAAGGTTCTTGATCACTAATTCCCCTCACATCCAGTCGTCTTTTTCTTTGGACAAAGTGGTTTAGTCCGCAGGCGTACTACTTTCGCAATTCGATAAATTTCAAAAACACGTGAGGGAAGCACGAGCTGCTCGCGACGAGTTTACAACCCCGCCCACTGGTCACGGTAACGCCCAATCTTCATTTTTTAACTGTTAGCCGGTGTGGTTGTTCCGCTGCTAACTCTCTACATTTCGAATCGTGAGAGTGATGTGATAAGGGAAAAGATCTGAACCAACAAACGGCAACTCGTCCGACCACACCCCATCCTCGCCTTATGCACGTGAAAGCGCTGTTCAGCTATGTGGAGCCTTCAGACGGACTTCTAGTGTTTTTTCTTCACTTTTGTATTACTTACCATCTTGTCGTTAGTATTTGTGTCACAAATCAACTTTTTTGAACGAAAGGGTGTCCTTGATGCCTAAGCCCCTTTCATTTGCCTGAGGTAGCCTGGGCGTCCGTTTTTGAGGCAAACCAGAGTTTCTTCCCTCTAGTTACGGTGTGATAGCTGCTGCAAGAAGTAACTGCAATCGCTCCGCTTTAACATCGTCAGTTTCAGATCACCACGAAAAACACAACCTTCAAAACAGTTGAACTGAATCATGCCTCAGTGACGACTACATCTTTGTTTGTTCAAATTTTGCTTCTTCCCTTATTTCAAATATTAATGTGGAACTTTTAGTGAAGCAATGTGGGCGCTGTTCGGCGACGGAGGGGGATTTTGCACTTTCGCAGCTTCACTAGTTCCGGTTTACAAGTCTCACTCTGGTGAAACCTGTGAACTCTTGTGTAGCTGGAGCAAGCTCGTCCAAGCCACCATGATAAAACCTGTCAACTCTCGTAAGGCTCTCTCGATGGCTCGACACGTCGATGGGAATGTGGCGAATGCGCAAAATGCCCCCCCCCCCGTCGCCGAACTGCGCCGCAATGTGTATAATTTTGTTTGTATAAATTTTTTCTTGATTGTGTCAGTCACCACTCTCATGACCACAAATATGCTGAAAAAAGTGCAACCTACTACAGCAATTCAGCTGCAGCTTGAACGAATTCAAACGCTTTCCTCTCGAAGCGACTTCTGGTCAGACCCCTCACGTCTCACCACAACATTTCCGTGGTCAACACCATTGAACTGAAGTTTTCAATGACAAGCGCGAATGTTTTGCACGGGGGGGGGTGCAAGGGAAAGACATTTCCCGTCCCTCAACTTTCAAAGCGAAGTAAGTTACACTTCATTCAATTCTTATAGGACATTTCCACCATCAAGCTCAACAACTCGCTGCACACATGAAACATGAACACACAACACACATGAAACTCCGCCACAGCCTTCTGGACGAGTGCCATCGAGGGATTCTGCCACGCGACCGTGATTCGGTGCCTGAGTTCAGCGAGGTCGTTGATTTCTCCGCCACTATAGACCACCCACATTTGAATTTTCCGTCTTCTATCAGCGCCCTTCGATTCCGGTTCCTATCACACAATCCTGTAGAAGTTTATGAAGTTCCAAAGTGCAGGCGACGAACATGAAGGCAGGTGTTTCTCCTCAATGTTGTCGATGTAACCGGTCAGAGTTCACTTCCAGTCCGGGGTCTGCGAAGATCAAGTATCGGTCTTTCACAATTCAAGAAACTCCTGGATTACACATCCGCCTTGAGGACTTCGCGTGAAGATGATACCTGACATAGCGACATGTTTGTCTGAGCTACCCGATGTTGGGCGTCTTTTAGATCAAGAGTGCCGGTCTCCAGGTGCTGGCATGGGTGACTCCATACAAGAAGTTTCGCAGCTGTGTGTGGGTGAGGTTAATTCACTTTGGCTGCGATTACAAATGGCTTCACGTTTGGGTGTACATGAAGGTGATGGGCGAGAGCCTGCTTCAGCTTATCGAGGAACATCTTGGGTAATCTTCCGCCCTGGTAGTCGTTTGCCACGTCTTTTGACTATGTATTTTTATTCATGTGTTTGTATTGAATCTGTCCTAATCGTCCACGTTGTGGGCAAAATGAAAAATTGGGTCTAAGAGTGTGGACTCACAATCCCGAAAGTTTTCGAAATGCTGAGATTCCCATTTCTAGACTAAACCCAGTGAAATGTATGTTTTGAGATGAGTTCAGACTTTGCGACGGCCTGCTGCCGTTGCAATCGCGCCCTGATGCTAAACTTGATGGGCAGCTACAATAGGCGGACTCGGCGTCTTCGGCGTGGAGGACATATCGCGCTTAGGCTTGTTTCTTCTGCTACTATCTGCTACCTGGTGTCAGGAAGGGCGGGATGAGCTCGCCTCCGTGTGCCTTACTCCACCAATAGTGATCGGTCGGTTATTGATTCAGGAATCAAACAACCAGTCGTAGGAAACTCGTGGGTGAGCTCATTCCGTCCCTCTTGAAACCGCCTAATTGCGACGATATCATTAGTAGCACTTATTTTCTTGACAAAACGCAACCGCACTGCTGCACTCAATCAATTTCATTTTGAGGAACGATGGGCTTTTTCTTTTTTTCATTGGTTGGAGTGAGTACTAGATGCAAATCCTACGCCAGTCCATAAATAATCTCTATTGAAACACACGCTTTGCGCACCTCAAATCAGCGTCCGCATGATCTATGGGAATGTGCCGCGGTGAAAAGGGAAACGCTGAAAATACGAAGAAGAGCTCCCCTTACTAACAACGTGGAATGGTTAAGAACAGCTCATTGCAGCATGTGATAGTAAATGCGACCTAGGGTGACATGGGGTATCAAACACTGCCATCTTTTACCCCACCCACTACCGAACTGGGTGCTTCATCGGTTGGAGTGAGCAGCTAGGGAGTGAGTCCTTCTCGTCTGTTTCTACTCCTATATCCCATAACATTCGCGAGACGCCTGGGACCATCCGCTCCCTTGACCCCAACTTGATTACTAAACGGTTAGTTCTTAACATACATATTTCCATGTTT